CAATAATCAAATCAGAGATGCAAAATTGAATAAATGCTCAACGACGGTACTATGCTGGTCCTAGGCTAGACTGTGCTAGAGACGCGAGCCTAGAACACTAACAAAATCACGACGCTGCACGGAAACAAGGGAGAAGCACACTCTGAATTTTTTTCCACTTTTTTTTGCGCTCTTTTTTTTTGCGCTCCTTTTTTTTAAAATCACTATAATGGCGAGTGTCTCAAAACTCTTCCCAAGTCAAGATAACAGGATAGGCACGAATTTTTTTTGACAATTCTATTTTTTGACTATCTGGACCCAAAAACTAGAAACGGTGCAAAAAAACTTTCTATAACGGCGACTGTCTCAATACGCTTAGAAACACCTAAAAATAGGATAGCCAAATTTTTTTTTGTCAAGTGCGTTTTTGAAAAAATTTGGGCCTAAACGGAGGGTGGTTTCCAGACTTTTTTTTTCCAAAACCTACACAGGCAAGGAAACACGATTCGGAAATTAGATGGATCTCGAAAACAAACCTAATATGCAAGGAACTCGGATTGGTGGTGGATATATGGTGGTGGTATATGGCAGCGGTGGTGGTAGCGGTGGTAGTATATGGATATGGATCGGTGGTGGTATATGGATACGGATTGGTGGTGGTATATGGATACGGATTCGGAGCGGTGGTGGTAGGTAGCAGGGGCGATGATGATGGTGCGGTGGCGGCGTGACAACTTATGACCAGAACTCGAAACTCTAAAGGACTAGACGCTAAGACCAGCAACTAGACACGACGATGCAACCGCAAATTCAACAAAGCAAAACCCTAAAAAGATTATGCAAAGGCTCAGATTGGTTCAGATATGATGAACTAACCCTAATTTTTTTTGTGGCTTTTTCGTGGACTGTAGGTATGAAGAACAGACTCAATCTAACCTACGAAAAACTATAAAATCTCACCGAGCAACCTGGAAATCTGATACCACTTGACAGAGACAAAGGTGTCCCGTCTTTCAAAGAGATGATGGATATCGCTTTGGTGGAAGTCGACTTTGACGATCCGACTACGAGTGTGCGAGGATGTTGCGCCTTAGCAATCGCTAAACCAACTCTGAGAGGTTATTGACCGCGCTGGAGCACGATCAACCTGACCACGAGGGTCTGTTTCCTGCGAGCAAACGAAGAACAAGCAAGAAACTGAGATTGCAATCTGGATATTGCGAATATAAGATGAAAGCTTTATTGATCAAGGTGGGGTTCTGTGACGTCTTTGTCTGGTCGTTGAACACAAACGAAGTACGCGAAGTTGCAGCTATGGCGAACTTTAATCTAAACAAAACCCAAAGTCTAAACGGTGCCCTAAGGGCTATATATATGGAGGAAGAGGGGGTGAATTTCATGGCCCTTGGTGGAGGGGTCCGAAACTAACCCTATCTCTTGTTTCCCCACACATACGGACTCTAAAAATAGCCTATACTCATGTATTTCGAAATTACATGGGCCTGGCCCAATAATAAGGTGACGCAGCACCTAGGATAGCCTCTGGACGAAATTTATGAAGTGGCATCTTGTATATTTCGTCCAAGGCTTCATGCACTCATTATCGTGGCTTCAAAGTCCTGAAATCATCACTTGTAACTCCGTTCTTGTTCCCCTTGCGCATGACATCATCTCCATGCTTGTTCTTGCTCCAATGTTCATCCTTCTCCAAGCTAGGCCCTTCATTTGTAAGCAAAACAAATGTATCCAATTTAGCCAGCATCATATTCTCATGAACATTAGAATCATTACCAAGAAACGAAAGTACCTGATAATTTAATTGGCGTGCACGAGCTCTAGTAATTGGTCCAGTATATGTAGCAGTAGGGGTTGTGGGTGTAACAATGGTATTGATGTCCTCATCATTTCCATGCAACATTCCCCAACAATACGTGGAAGTTACAAGTTGAGAAGCTTATTACTCTTGGGTGCTTGGTACCCTAGAGCTTGTTCCTCTTGGGTACTTGGGCGCCCTAGATGGTTGGTGGTATTCGGAGCTCAATCATTATGGTGTAAAGCTCCGGACAAGCATTGGGGTCTCCAATTAGGTTGTGGAGATCGCCCCGAGTAATGTGATGGGTTTCGGTGACCGCCCCCAAGGGTTGCCAAAATGTACGGGTTCGGTGACCACCCCCAAGGGTTGCCATTTGTATGGGTTCGGTCACCGCCCTCAAAGGTCCCTTAGTGGAATCATGGCATCTTGCATTGTGCAAGGGCATGAGGAGATTACGGTGGCCCTAGTGGCTTCTTGGGAGCATTGTGCCTCCACACCGCTCCAAACGGAGATTAGCATCCGCAAGGTGTGAACTTCGGGATACATCGTCGTCTCCGCGTGCCTCGGTTATCTCTTACCCGATCCCTTTACTTATGCACTTTACTTTGTGATAGCCATATTGTTTCTTGTTTTATATCTTGCTATCACTTAGTTGTCTATCTTACTTAGCATAAGTTGTTGGTGCACATAGGTGAGCCTAGTTGTTTTAGGTTTTGTGCTTGTCAAATTAAACGCTAGGCTCATTCCGCATTTGTTCAAGCCTAAGCCATAATTATTTTGAAGCGCCTATTCACCCCCCCCCTCCTACACACACACACCTCTAGGCGACATCCATGATCTTTCACACCTCATCGAACGGCCTTCCACTAGTCTGATAGATGCAAATTGTCTATAGTCTGATGCCTAATGGTGTCCTATCTTATGGGCGTACATTTGCTCAACAAGCAAAATTGCTGTTGATTTGTCCAAAACATTATGCACATTCATTCTGAACTATATTTTTTTACTTGATTTTTTAATTTAAAAAATATTTGAATTTACACAAATATATAGTTGATTTGTCTGAAAGAATTTACGTGCATTCATTCTGAGCTCTATTTTCTTTTACTGATATTTTTAAATATAAAATTATTTGTATTGGAACAAAAAAATCGTTGATTTGTTTGAAATAAGTTACTTACCTGTATATAAGTTTTCTTCAAAGACAAAGTTCTACTTTGACCAAATTTATAGAAAAAAGTATCAACATCTATAGTGTCAAATCAATATTGTTAGATTTATTATGAAATGTAGTTATATATTAGTATTGTAGAATTTGATGTTTTAATTATAAATTTGGTCAAACTTTATAAGGTTTGACTTGACACTAATCTAATACACGGAGTAACAAGGACCGTAGGGAGTACATTCTTTCTGAACTATACTAGCAATGTGCCCGCGCGTTACAACGGATCCAAAGTAGAAAAATACATATTCACAAATTTGAAAGAAAACTGTCTAGTTTTGATATACATATATATCACTAAAAATATCTTATATTTCACTCAAAATATATTCCTTGGCCTGTTTTGATGAGCTAAGGGAGGAATGTGGTTGGTTTCAAGATACTAAGGGATTTTCTGTAAATTGGAGCAGAGAAGTGGGATATTATTGTAAAACAGATGCAGATCTAATGGTTAGAAATGACGGATGATAGACACGCCATCATCACCAATTAAATTTTTTATAGGAGTAGAGATATTCTTTTATCTATTTTTTCAACTTAAAATTATTGGAATTCCAACAAAATTTCATTGACTCGTCCAGAAAATACATACACTCATTATGAACTATATTTCCTTTTATCTACATTTTCAAATTTAAAATTATTCGAATTCAAACTAATATTTTGTTGATTTGCCCAAAAGAATTTACATGCATCCTTTCTGAACTCTATTTTCTTTTATCAAGATTCATAAATTTAAAATTTAGTCGGATTCAAACTAATATTCTGCTGATTCGTTCAGAAAAGTTACGTATTTATTCTGAACTTTATTTCTTTTATCTAGATTTTTAAATTTACAAATATTCGAATTCAAACAAATATGTTGTTGATTTGTCCAAAAAAATGTACATTCATTCTGCAATATATTTTATTTTATCAATATTTTTAATGTTTGAATTCAAACAAAGGTGATTTGTCCACAAAGAGACGTCTAGCTGGGTGGTTTGCACACATAAAGATATCGCAGTGGTTGCCGGTTTGAATCACCACAGTGCGCATGATTTTTATTTTTTTTGAAACAAGGCAAAAAGACTTGCCATTTTCATTTAATAAGAAGAGGTTTCAGAACAGACATCGCCAAGCGGCGGAAAAGCAAAACAATTACTCTCGCGGCATTACATTACGCAAATGCTTAGCGCCTGCAGTGGCTCAAATCGAAACTTCCTCTTTGATGCGTCGCATGACTATCGCCACCGGCGCTGCTTTGCTCCTGAAGACACGAGCATTCCTTTCATTCCATATCTCCCATCCCACAAGAAGTAACAGGGAAGATAGGGCCTTCATCGGGAGTGTATTATCAGAGAGAACCGCATCCCACCAAGATTTCACCGAATCGAACAGGAGCCACGGGGCCGTGGGGATAGCAAGCCCAGGCCATGAGAAGACCGCATGCCAAATCCGAACAGAGAAATGACAATTGAAGATCAGGTGTGCTCCTGACTGCAGAGTGGGCATTTGTCACAATTTGGCCATCCTCTCCTCTGAAACCTATCAGCCGTCCAAACTCTGTTGCGCCAAATAAGCAGACTCTTTGCACAATGGGCCTTGGCCAGCTGAATTGTTACCGTATTTGCACGTTCATACAAGTTTGAGGACTGGAATCATGTATTTTACAAGTTTATATGCATCAAATTGACCGCGCATGTTGTAAGACTTGCGGTGTTACCTCTAGATTATGGTATAGATGTGGTGAGGAGACAGCGGAACTGTATGCAATAAATTTTGATTGTTGATTATACCCTGTCACCGAAAAGTACCACAGTTGCGCCAGCACTGTATGCACAGATGTCTCTCTCTATTCATTTATCTCTCTCTTTTCTCATCTTTCCTATCTCATAAATGTCCGCCACTGTCTTTTACAGTTTACTGTGAAAAGAAAAGGGAAAAAGGAATCCTTTCTTGTGTTGGTGTCAGGCTGCTTGGTGTGTGGCCGTCGTCTTGTTTCTACCGAGCAGGAGATTGTGTAATGTCACCCAGCATGTTGAGTGCAGGGCAAGGGTTGTCGATCGGTATCTGCCACAGCAAAAAGTGGAGCATTAGATTTTAGCCAGCAATACCATGGACATTCCACAGGCAGCAAGCAGTACACCTGCCTGCCTGACCCCCTATCTATCTATCTATCTATCTATCTATCTATCACTATTTCTGCCTGCAGACCCTCTCTTCTCACAGGCAATGCATATACAGTACTAAAATTTTCTATGTGTGGTAGAGAGACATGCATGCGCATGATGAGATCCTTGAGAAAACTGTATCTCACCAGCCACTAGATGAATGCACACTCATCTCCAGAGTCCAGGTCACCCAACGCCAACAGTATATGGTGAGGTGCTCAATTATTTGATGAATGCGTGAGCGCAAGTTTTGTGTTGGGTTACCATGTGGCCAGCTCCGAGTATCCAGTAGAATTTCAGGTTCTTGTACGACTTGAGGAAGGCCTGGGTGCCGACTGCTTCACCTTCACCCCCCTTGCAGTAGAGCGGCTTTCTGGGCGACCCTGTGAAATTCTTCAGGCCTTCCCACCTGGCAACATGCACACACATGCAATCAAGTTAAACTCATATTATGTCCTTGCAAAGACACACAAACACACATAGACATGTGAGTTGCAGCACTTACTTGAGCTTCTGGACCCAGTCCAGTGTTCCCTTGGTTGCGCAGATGAGATCGAGCTGCAAGAACAAAACGCAATTTATCATATTATTATGTTGGAGAGATTCTGCGATGCGTTTGAGCGGTCCAGTGAGTGATTGATCATCCACACCACACTTGCAGGTAAGCAACAGCGGTTAGGACAAACTTGGGGTGTCACATGTCAGGGATTTTGATCGATTTGGAAGCATGCGTGCGCCGTGCAGCATACAACACTAGACGGTCAAAACAAACGGACAAGACCAATCAACAAATGCGTGCAGGCTTGGGTCTTTGGATTGCAAGACGCGCACGGATCAACATCAACTAGTAGTCGGACACAAGAGAGACGGTGGGGCTTTTTCCATACCTGTCCGCTGTAGATGGTCACCTCGACGCCAAGTTTCAGGAGCTCGTCAACCTGCATGCATCCATCGTCACTCACAGCAGGTTAATTAAGCCATCCATTAGCTGCACTGAAACTACTCTCTCTGTCTCATAATGTAAGATGTTTTTTGACACTACATTATGGGACGGAGGGAGTAGTTAGGAACTAATGGTGTAGCTAGTGGTGCCAACCTCGTTGATTCTTGGCTTCATGAAGTCGCCTGCGAGGGCTTCGAACACGTCGCCTGACTGCTCTCCCCAGGTGAAGTTGCTGGGGATGATGCCCAGCTTGGCCTTGACCTCGGCGTTCATGAGGCCGTCCAGGCCGCCTTCCCGCGTCGCCTTGGAGCTCAGGTACCTCGTGTAGCCCACCTTCCTCACAGCCGCCCCCGCAGTCGCCAGCACTGCAGCGTCCTCCGACGACTCGTCCTTGAGGATGTTGTAGAAGTTCTGCCACGCACCCACCATGCAATTACAAGTCAGCACTACTTGTATGGAGTAGAACACAAACAAAGCAGAGGCAGGGGCACGAGGGAGGGAGGGAGGATGCGCACCACGGAGTTGCTCTGCTCGAGGACGGCCGACTCGAGGTCCTCCCACGACTTCTCCGCCGCCGCGTACTGCTTCGCCTTGAGCTGCGCCTTGATCTTATTCGCCAGGCTGCGTGTCACCCATCGTCGTCAGTTGCTTTTTTTTCTTTTTTGAAAGAATTTTTTTACAAGTACTCCATCGCACAGAATTGGAAGGTTTTTCTCTACCTGTCGCATTGCTGCAGTCCCTTCTCGTCGATACGAGACACTTGGTATAGCAACGGGCCCCATGACAACTGTACCCAGTAAGTAGTAAATTCTCTCTGTTAATTACTTACTCGATTATTATTAATTCAGCAAGCACAATACGCGGCAGTCGTTAAGACTTACCACGGAGTCCTCTGGTGAAATCCAGCTATCCCCGAGGGCCACACCTGCATGCATGCGGCGTGGCACAGTACATCAGCCAAAAATTCAGTTAATGGATTGATTATTAGATTAGCTGCATCATGATGGGCTAGCTCGTTAATGGATTTAATAGGCTATTATTGGCTCTAGTGCTGTACCTCCAAGCTTGGCCTTGAGGTGTCCATGTCGGATGGCCTTGAGCGCGGTGAGGGCGGTGGTGACGGCGAACTTGCCGCCGTACGACTCGGCCACGATGTAGAGTGGACTCCCCTGCAGCCGCTTGTTGTGCCGGTAGAGCTTGATGAGTAACGCCGTCAGGTCGCGCGCCGCCTGACCGTCCGTGCGCGCCATCAGGCTCTTGTTGCCGCCCTCCACGAAGCTGAACCCCGTGCCAACGGGGTTGTCCTGCACCATGCATGCCCATGTGGAGCAATCTCACAACTCAAAAACGGCCCACGCGACGAGGAAGAAGAAGAAGAACAGGTTGGGTTGCTACTTACAACGAAGAGGAGGTCGGCCTTGTTGAGCCAGGTGGTGGCGCGGGGCTTGAGGTCCGTGTCCAGCGGCCCGATCTCCATGAAGTTGCCGTAACCCACCCCCGACGCGCCCTGCAATGCATATATATATGCCAGATTGAATCATCGGTATATATAATCGTCTATGCAAGATTCATGGACTGCTTGATTCTTTAATTCAGTTGGTGCTGGCTACTCACCGGGCCGCCCTGCAGCCACAGCACGGTCGGCCATGGCGCTGTGCCGTTGTCGACGCGGTGGGGGCTACGGTACAGCCACCAGAACATGTGCGCCTCTGCAGAGTTCAATTGTTAACCACGCCACCATGAGCTACAACAAGGTGAAGACGAAGAAGAAGAAGAGAAATACTAATTTTCTTACTGGGTCGGACTTGCATGTATCCCCACTCCTCCGACCCATCGGCGGTGCCGGCGGCGGCGGCGGCGGCGCGGGAGGGCAGGACGAGGAGGAGCGCGACGAGAGCGACGCAGGACAGCAGGAGCAACCTCGCCACCGCCATTGTGGTGTGACAAGGACTCGTCGTCGACGACGCAGGAGGCCGTGTGAGGCTGGGATATATATGGTGGTGCCGGGACGTTGTACAGGGTATACAGGTCGTACAAGGAGGCCAAGGAGGGGAGATCGTTTGCGTCTGTTTGTTGGAATCCCGTCCGGATGACGACGTGTAAACTACTCCGATCTGGACTGGAATAAAGATCCAGGTAACTCCTCGCAAGAATCCAGGAGGGGGGGTATGAGAGCCGCTGCCGGCCGGCCTTTCCCTATACGTAATCGGAACAGCCTTCCGTTCCAAACTCTCATCTTCTTATCTGATGAAACGGTTCTACCGGTACCATACGTGCAGATAGATACACTTGAGACTTGAGAGGGACATAAAAGTTTCAGCTCGCAAACTTTTCTCTCTGAGTGCTGCACTGGTTTTAAGTTGAGTGTTGCACTGGTTTTGCATCCGCAAAATTAGTACTTCCTCCGTTCGAAATTACTTGTCATATGGATGTATCTACAACTAAAATATATCTAGATACATTTATTTTTTGAATGAGTAATTTCGAACGGAGGGAGTATGTAGCAGTAGTTGAGTGAATTTATGCTTGGGAGATGAGATGGTTCTTATATACGTAGTACACTTGATTAGATGCGAGGACCTGCCACCATGAGCAGTCCATGGAATTTATAAAAGCTGCTAGTACTATGGGCCAGCAAGGTATGGGAGCAGAATGGAGGCGGTGCACGCTTGCTAGCTCGGCCTTCTCTTCTCAGTCGTCTTGGGAAGGACCCATCGAGTCCAATCCAAACCACCACCATTCTTGACAGTCAACACATACCTTTTCCAAGTTCATGCGCACGCCGGCACGCGTTCTATCATACTTCTTCTCATTTCTGTAGGACTGCTTTTAGTTTTACCACTACGGTTGCTATACTGTACACCTGACCTGACGCTTCAAACTAGCACGTGCATGTATGGCCATGGAATAGAAACAGAGGCCTCCACTTTATAAAAAAAAAAGAAAAGAAACAGAGGCCTCCTCCACCCGCAAAAAGAAAAAAGAACGGAGGCCTCCTTTGCCTCCAGGAATTTTGTAGGAATTCCATATAATAGGATTTATGTAGGAAAATTTTCTTCAGAGCTCTTTGGTTTGTAAAAACAGAATCATATTTTTATGGAGGAATTGTTCCTATACTTCACATTTCATAGACAAATAAACATTAGTGTAGACTCAATGGAAAACATCCTATGATGTGAACCAAAGGGCATTTGTCTTTCCTATTCCTATTCATAGGATTTGAGATGCATGTCATCTCATTTTCTATGACTTTTCTATTTCTATTATTTTCCTACCATCTGAACCAAAGGAAGCCAGAGTACTTTTTTTAGCTTTTCTTTCTTCACAAAAAGGACAAGCAAGAACTTGAGCGCCTTCGGTCATCAGGTCACGATATGACAAGATAAAATGGAGTGACAATGTTTGGGTCTTAAAATAATTTGTGTAACTTTGTGCATTCGATGGTTCGATGTATACAATTTTTCGGTTTGTACGGTATTAATACTTTGGTAAACACGGTATGAAATTAAGATACGGTCCAGATTCGGTATATACGTACCAAATTATTCTGGTATATAGCATAATAACCAAAGTTGATGCAAATTTGAAAATGACATAATAATAATTTACAAATTTATGACTCAAAACACATAATTTTTTTATACAAACACTATATAAGTATATATGCATGCATGGATTCATGCTTTGATGGTTATGAATGTGTTGAGCATTTTTCTAAGAGAAAATTTTTTGTGTTACAAGAAAAATGGACGTGCTTAGCAAGGAATCTGGCTCTTGTACAAAAAAATGACTACTTGTATGGTTGTTCGCCTAAATAATATAAATATTATTTTACTTTGGTTTATTCGGTTTACCGTCCGGTTTTTTGGCATATACCATAAAACGGAAATTCAAGATGGTATGGAAAGTTCATACCATACCGAAGCTGCAAATCATAAAATTAATTCAGTTCGGTTTATTTTCGGTATGGTTTTTTGGTTTAGTTCTAAAATGCACATAGTGACGTTTTCATGATGCTAGAGGCAGATGATTACTTTTTTCTTGTCATGCAATTGCTTTCCCGTTTGCATGCATTCATATCCCGATTCAAAAATTGTGTAATGATGATTGGAAATGATCAAAGAACATGGCAGAGAAGCAGTCGACTTTTTTGTGAGGTAAACAGATATTTTTTTAAGGTAGTAGGGTTACGAAAAAAATCCTACAAATGGTTCATCTGCCTTTTGGTTGAATTTCTTGATAATGCCCTTATGAGATAATTCGTAAAACGAACGTTTGCTATACGTGTCAGCCATAGCTTGCTTAACTTCCTATCTACGCTTGCTTAATTAACATCTTGGTTGTAGTTGGCCTTTACGCCAATAACACAACGGTCATTTACTTATATAAATAATTATAAACAATAGCTTTACATGATATCATAACATGAAATAGCCTGCAGTTGACTATACTATTAGCCATGCTCTTAACAATAGACACGTGAGTTCTCACGGCGACCTAACTGTGTTGCCTTTTATCTTACCCCTGCTGACCCGAATTACTTGTCTAAGAAATTGATAGAAATGGATGTATTTAGAACTAAAAATATTTCCAAACACATAAGGGCCTGAGACAAGGGAATCCGATGTCTCCTATTTTGTTCAACATTGTAGTTGATATGTTGGCAATTCTAATAGGAAGGGCTAAGGAGGCTGGTCAGGTGGTGAAGGAAATATGCCCTAAAGGCAATAATAAAGTTATTATTTATTTCCTTATTTCATGATAAATGTTTATTATTCATGCTAGAATTGTATTAAACGGAAACATAATACATGTGTGAATACATAGACAAACAGAGTGTCACTAGTATGCCTCTACTTGACTAGCTCGTTGAATCAAAGATGCTTAAGTTTCCTAGCCATAGACATGAGTTGTCATTTGATTAACGAGATCACATCATTAGGAGAATGATGTGATTGACTTGACCCATTCCGTTAGCTTAGCACTTGATCGTTTAGTATGTTGCTATTGCTTTCTTCATGACTTATACATGTTCCTATGACTATGAGATTATGCAACTCCCGTTTATCGGAGGAACACTTTGTGTGCTACCAAACGTCACAACATAACTGGGTGATTATAAAGGAGCTCTACAGGTGTCTCCGAAGGTATATGTTGAGTTGGCGTATTTCGAGATTAGGTTTTGTCACTCCAATTGTCGGAGAGGTATCTCTGGGCCCTCTCGGTAATGCACATCACTATAAGCCTTGCAAGCAATGTGACTAATGAGTTAGTTGCGGGATGATGCATTAATAACGAGTAAAGAGACTTGCCAGTAACGAGATTGAACTAGGTATTGAGATACCGACGATCAAATCTCGGGCAAGTAACATACCAATGACAAAGGGAACAACGTAAGTTGTTATGCGATTTGACCGATAAAGATCTCCCTAGAATATGTGGGAGCCAATATGAGCATCCAGGTTCTGCTATTGGTTATTGACTGGAGACTTCTCTCGGTCATGTTCTATATAGTTCTCGAACCCGTAGGGTCCGTACGCTTAAAGTTAGATGACGATTTATATTATGAGTTATGTGTTGTGATGTATCGAAGGTAGTTCGGAGTCCCGAATGAGATCGGGAACATGATGAGGAGTCTCGAAATGGTCGAGACATAAAGATCGATATATTGGACGACTATATTCGGACTTCGGAAAGATTCCGAGTGATTCGGATATTTTTCGGAGTACCGGAGAGTTACGGGAATTCGCCGGGGAGTATATGGGCCTTATTGGGGCATACGGGAATAGAGGAGAGAGGCCAAAAGGAAGGAAGTGCACGCCCCCCCTCTGGTCCGAATTGGACAAGGGGTGCGGCCCCCTTTTCCTTCTCCCTCTCCCCCTATTTCCTTCTCTCCTACTCCGGAAAGGAAAGGGGAATCCTACTAGGACTTGGGAGTCCTAGTAGGACGCCCCACACTTGGCGCGCCCCCTCTAGGGCTGGCCTCTCCCTCCCTCCTTTATATACGGGGGCAGGGGGCACCTCTAGACACAACAATTGATCCGTTGGATGTCTTAGCCGTGTGCGGTGCCCCCCTCCACCATAATCCACCTCGATAATATCGTAGCGGTGCTTAGGCGAAGCCCTGTGTCGGTAGAACATCATCATCGTCACCATGCCGTCATGCTGACGGAACTCTCCCTCAAAGCTCGGCTGGATCGGAGTTCGAGGGACGTCATCGAGCTGAACGTGTGCTGAACTCGGAGGTGTCGTGCGTTCGGTACTTGATCGGTCGGATCGTGAAGACGTACGACTACATCAACCGCGTTGTGCTAACGCTTCCGCTTTCGGTCTACGAGGGTACGTGGACACACTCTCCCCTCTCGTTGCTATGCATCACCATGATCTTGCGTGTGCGTAGGAATTTTTTTGAAATTACTATGTTCCCCAACAGTGGCATCAGAGCCTGGTTTTATGCGTAGATGTTATATGCACGAGTAGAACACAAGTGAGTTGCGGGTGATACAAGTCATCCTTCTTACCAACATGTCATATTTTGGTTCGGCGATATTGTTAGATAAAGCGGCCCGGACTGAAATTACGCGTACGCTTACGCGAGACTGGTTCTACCGACGTGCTTTGCACACAGGTGGCTGGTGGGTGTTTGTTTCTCCAACTTTAGTTGAACCGAGTGTGGCCATGCCTGGTCCTTGAGAAGGTTAAAACAACACTAACTTGACGAACTATCGTTGTAGTTTTGATGCGTAGGTAAGAACGGTCCTTGCTCAGCCTATAGCAGCCACGTAAAACTTGCAACAACAAAGTAGAGGACGTCTAACTTGTTTTTGCAGGGCATGTTGTGATGTGATATGGTCAAGACGTGATGAGATATAAGTTGTTGTATGAGATGATCATGTTTTTTTGAAGTTATCGGCAACTGGCAGAAGCCTTATGG